GAGGCTGATATTGCTCACCTTATTCTTGATTGTCGCTGTCGATGGAGGCATTGTAGACAAAGTAAAAGGAGTGTTCTCTGGCGATGGTAGTTTTGGACAGAAACTGAAGAATGCAACTATCGTTGGATTCAAGAAGGTTCCCTTTTCCTTTCTGTCTTTTGATGCTCTGTATCCTATTCGTCTCAGTTTTTCATTTTTCCGTCTCCAAGTTCAGTAGACATATGGCTTAGTTTCTAACAGCCATTTCTCTTTCCTATTCATACAATTACAGCTCTTCGAAAACACGGCACTGTTCAAAATCCGCGACAAGATCAGAAGTATGAAGGACAAGGTTTTGAAGACATTGGAGTTAACACCAAAAATGATGAAATCGCTCGAGGAAAGGTTGAAGGTAACATTGACAGTTCACTTCTCTACGACAGAAGGCCATAGAACTTCCAAAATTTTGGCAAAAGGACAAAACTTTTCAACATTCTTCACATGTGAATGGGGTGTCTTTGGGTGAAAAACCGTCTAGTGGGTCAATAAGTGTACAACCCACAACGGATTGATTTTACAGAGATTGCGACCCATCAAGAAGGATAAAGTCGCAGAGAAAGGAGACTCCATCACTGAGGTCAACGAATACAGTCAGGTTGGCAGGATCTCTACCAGAGCGACATGGTGCTAACAGAGTATGTCAATTAATCAACGCCTAGTACTATCCTCGTTAACTTCCTTATCCATCGCCGTTGAAGGGAGCAAGCCGAGGAGATTGTGCAAGATATAGAAGATGAGGTTGCCGGTGAAAATCGCGCAAAACGCCAAGCGTTCAAGGATCATAGATATCCAAATATGTTATGGTCAGAAGGAGTGAATTATTACTTCCATAAGCTCGCAAGTATGTGTAAAAATGTAGCGCTTGTTGGAAATGGGCAAAATACAAACAATGTGATCATTGAAGGCAGGCAGATGAGAAGTTCGTTTGAAAAAGGAGCGAAGCTATGGGAACAGGATACTTGCATCAATTTCACACGAAACCCATTCGGTAAGAAGACACTGAAATTTACAGAGATGTATTTTTTTGCTCTGAATCACGGTAATAGCCCTTTCAGCATTTCGGAATTCACCGTGAGAGTTTGTTGTTTCAGCCAAAGATCGAATTATGGTATTCCCGGAGGATGGATGTTGGTCTTACGTCGGAAAACTCGGCGGTGAACAGAAGCTGTCACTAGGAAGTGGTTGTGAAACGGTATCCATCGCTGCGCACGAGCTTGGTCACGCTCTTGGATTTTTCCATACAATGTCTCGACACGATCGCGACGACTTCATCACGGTAAACAAGCACAATATCAAGGTGAGTGTTCGCCAGTGCCCCTATCAAATGTCAACAGAAGTTTTATAATCGTTTCTTCTATTAATTCTGTACCACGGGGTTACGGGAACACCTTATTCAGGACCCGCACCTTGCAGTATTAGTGAAGTTTCACTAATGTGATTAGCCTACCCCATTGCTGCGGTATGTTAGGCGACATTCGTTCAGTGTGGAAAAGCGCACATCTATCGGTTTTGACGCCACCTGTCAAGACTGCCAGTTTACGCTGATTATTACTAATTAGATTCATATCCTCCAGCAGCCTTGCTAACGGTTCATGCTAGCTCCGCATTGCTTTTTCCAAAGCAGATCGCTGGTTCACTAACTCTGGAAAGACCACGTTATTCCTCGACTCACCTTCAACGCGCTCTCAATTTGCATGAAATGTTTGAGCTCTGGGCAGAACACCACTGACCGTTCACAGTCTCGAACATTGAAATGCATTATGCCGCATCAGTACATCGACGATCGCGAGCGACGATGCGTGCTCATACTATCACACGCTCTTGAAGTGACGCGCTGAAAGCCTGTAACAGGAATAGACCCAAATTGTGTTGACTTGAGCAGCATGGAAAAATTCACATTTTTTGAAGGTAGCAAGTTGTGGAAGATCATTATAATGTGGTGCAACGGGATCTGAAGCAAATTCGTTACAATACTGAAAGCGTCAGGTGTTCTGCAGCTTTTGCACACTACCTTGAGAACTTGAATGACCGATTACGAAAGGATGTTCCGAACACTTTTTGGAGCCGCACTACAAACGCACTAGAATTCCAACAGTCTACAAAAACGACAAGTATACGAACAGCATACAATACTACAGGGAGTCTTATGTAAGCTTCCCAAAAAAATTAATCATTTGTCGGTCGACTATCCAAGCGAAAAGAAGAATTCCGACGAAATGGCAGTTGTACGGACAGCGATCACACTTTCAGGTGGACTGGCTAAGTCAATTCAATAAAGAAACAACGAAAACAAACGACAACTACAACATGACATACGATTACGGCAGCATTATGCACTACGGTGGAACTAGGTATGTTTGGAAGGAAGGAATCAAACCAATGTTTCAGTTCATAACCATGACGCTTCGATGATATAATCGTTATAACACCATTCGCGACAAGCTTTGATTGGTATCGGATATGCAGTGCTGGTAATCATAGCTAGTTGTTGACTTCACTATTGTTCAGTGCATCGTTCAACAAAAAGCCAACAATGGTTCCGTTTGATATCGACTATCAGCAAACGCCTTGGGTCTCCATTCATTTCTTTCATCGAGCTTTCAATGCTTAATGAACACTACGGATGCAAAGGTTTGACAGCCAGCTGTGAAATACCTTTTGCTCACATTTGAAGATCATAATCCTTGCCAAGTGCCTGTTAAATAGGTGCGCAGCTGTAGAAGTGTTCCACCACTTTCGTCACTCGAAAGTGCGCCAAAGTTGATTACCAGATGCCGTTCCAAACTACTTTCACAGGCAAGCTCAAGCGCAACCAGGCATACACCTAACTATGGGCAAAAATTTTAATTGTTGGCCTTCCCTCACGTTTGGTTACTCTCTATAAATGGCTGCAGTAGGTATTATGCCGTTCATGTTGTTCGCTGCGAAGACCTCGGCATCGGTGCGCATGCCGCACTTTGTGGCGCTACTCAATCTCACCTGCCTCCACCATCGTTAACACGCACAGTGGCAATGATTAACAAATGAAACCAGTTCCCACCAACATGAATGCCATCACTTCTCTTATCGCACTTTTGGTTATCAATTCCAGAAAATTGCAAAAAAACCACATCGGTCCAATGCGAAATGGGTGGATTTCCTCATCCTCGAGACTGCCAAAAATGCATCTGCCCCGGTGGTTATGCCGGAAAGCGGTGCACTGAGAGAGTGAGCTAGGAATAGATACAAACGGCATAGGTGCAAAAAGTGTTTGCTTTAGCCATCATCAGGGTGTGGCGATACAATTAAAGCTTCGAGTAATTGGACGAGACTTGAGAATACTGTCGGCCTTGGCCGTGATGAGCAAGAAGACTTTGAGACATGTCACTACTGGATTGAAGTGAGTTTTGTACCCTCAAAAAGTTAGCAGGTCATTACTTTGATCGTATGCTCACCGTAAACTCCGAATAGCGGGAGCTCAGTGAAAGAGCGATCATTAATAACTCCTCCCTGAGTGTCCAGTAGTGACACTTCTCAGTCGGCCACTAGTTATAATTGCTCGTCTTTTGCAGTCTCCTGAAGGAACCGAAATCGAAGTGAAATTAGTGAATTTCACAAAAGGCCTTTCTGTTGACGGATGCAGTTATGCAGGTGTAGAGATCAAGACCAACAAGGACCAAACGCTCACTGGTTACAGGTACATTGGTTGAAAAAAATTAGAAGTTTGGTAAGCTCAATTCGAACAAAAGAAAGAATTGGACTGAAATGGCAGTTTGTTCTTCGCGGAACAAAAGCCAAAATGACCGACACGATCGCCTAAGAGTCGATGCAAAAGCCTTAGAAACAAAATGAATTTAAGATTCTGCTCACCTGACGCGGCTGGAACAATTCTTCGTTCTTACATAAACCGTGTCCCAATAATGACATATAACAGGATTGTCAAAACGACTACTGTCCTTGAATATCGACACGGTACTGCTTCATTATTTCATGTCTCGGAAAAACTCAGACTAACCTGAAGCACTTAGTCCCTGCGAACTCACCAAGACCTACGACTCCTACCACCACTACTACTACAACTACGACAACAACAAAACGACCTGTTCCATTTATAAACACAGGAACTGACTCTAAATGCGAGGACAACCATTCGTAGGAAACGTTTTCCTATCACTGATTCTTTGTCGAAAATTATCCAGAGAATATACTTTCAGGTGCCGCTACTCTGTACCGATGGTCTGCACAGGGACACTATCAGAGGCCACCAAGAAGAAAGTGTCCGAATTCAATGCGTTCTGTACTGTTCAATGCAACTGACTGCAATACAAGTTACCCAGTGAATCGCTGTGCAATATCCACCTTGATTTCATGGGCAGAGGCATATCCTTATTCAATCGTTCGATGACGTTTGACGGGTTGGCGAGGAGGTGGTAGAGTCTCCCTCTTTGCATCATTTATGCATAACTCCGTGCTCACCAACATAATTCAGCTTGTCAGGACATATTGGAAGTGCAAGACCGGACGTAGGAAAGTGAAGTGCACATGGTTCTGTCTTTAACAAACCTTTCAGTACGATTCAGGTGTTCCAAATCCCTCATACCACTCAGGACTGAGTAACGATCGCTAGATGGTGTCGTATTTAAGGACTTCTAAGAGAGATCTGTTTGGCCCGTCGCTCAGGGTGCTCTTTGCCAACATGGAGGGTTGCAGATGCATAGGAGAAGAGCTGAAACTGCATAACTATCTGGTACTCTGTAACTACTCTTCTCCGGCTGCTGGTCTTGATGAACGGGACTAGGACAACCTCGTAGGTGATTGGAAGGGCTGCAGAAAAATAGCTGTTGGCAAATCCACTGTTGCGGATGGTCTGAAACGCTTTCGCAGTAACAATAGCCCGGCAAGGGGTTCGCGCACAATTGAGTGACCGCGAAATCGCAACGTCTCGAGATCATTCTTCTACACTGCTTTGCGACAACACCACCCCAGCAACGCACCACCCTTCAGACCGATTGTCACATCATGATAAAAAGTGGATCCATCGTTACAGATACGTTCTCAGACAGTGTTAATAGCACCAAGCCGAAACACACCCGCCCACCGGCCATAACATAACAAAGCCGACCCTCACGAAAACAAAAGATTAATCGTCCACACATGGCATAGTCCAATCGCATGGTGAAATCAACTACAAACTTTTTGTCACCACCGCAGCCAAACCGTCACGCAGAATCTCTTCAGGACGAAATGACCCACCACACGAAAACTTTCCACGTTACATGCCAAGTTAACCACTTACATCAAAGAATGTCCGAAAAACTTTTTTTGCATGACACATGCGCCCCACCACCGACACCAAACAGATTCACGAAATCACTAATCCTAAATATCGAAAACAGAATAGGTATAGAAGTCTTACCCTACTCGCCATATTGTCCAGCACCTTTCACCGATCCACCACACCGTCAACCTATTATCAAAACACTTTGAAAATTCCTTGTAGGAGAAAATACTATCACAGTCGATACCACCACCCCCACAAGGCAAAAAAAAAACTTACGATGCATATTCGTAGCATTACCAACCAACGACCACGCTCGTTTTCTCTTGATGGTTATCGAGAGGCCCACTTGCAAAAGTGTTCTGATCGAACGCCCGTCTCATTTCGATCAAATTCGATGAGTATTAAGAAAGTTATGATCGTTTGAAGTGAAACACTCAAAACGCTGAGAACTTTCCGGACAACCTAATAGGAGGGGTGCCATGTAGTGGGAAAATGACCAAAAAGCGAACGAAACGGTCGAAACTGCAAAAAATCTTGGTTCTAGACTAAAGTTTACCGTTGGCATCGTGCCAATAACCGTCGCATGTATGTACTCATATATCCACGCAGCAGTGCACTGTTTCATAACAATCCCTTCGCTTCATATTGTACTTCGCAAATGAAGCAATAAGAGCATCAGCATCAGTCGGTACACTTGTGGGCGGGCGGGCGCGTGGGCGTCCAGATCGGTATATTGGAGCTTGATAGGGCGCTATAAGGGCAATCGCAATTATGATTCAGCCCAGTACAGGATAGGACAACACTTGTTTCAAACAAAAATATCCCACGAACACATAATCGAACGCCATGTTCAAGTGGGTACGCGGCTACATATGCCCAGTCATCGTTGGGATGTGCAGTGTATGGTATGGTGGAAGCGGTGGAATGGTTTCAAAAATCGTATTTATGATCGCTGTTGCAAAAGTGGAGCAGGGCCTAAGAGGGTTGCTCACTGGCCTCCAGGAATGGGTCTAGCTGAGCTCAAACGGTTTTCTCTTCACAACAGCACAAAATTTGTAGGTGATGTTGCATACAGGTGAACGGCTTAGTACGTTACGAGTTAAAAAGAAATAGATAGCGTGTTCTTGACGTCACATACCGCATTGACTTGTCCTGAGACGTCACTGGCATGAAGTGGTACATTTTTCTTGGTCACTGAAGTGCTACAGCCCATATGCGAGGACAAAAAGAGGCCTTCTGTTCAATTGGCTGAGTATTCCCTGCCGGCTCTGCTCTCCTCCACGTGCGTCCCTGCCTCTTTTTCGTCTGCACTCTATCAGCTGCAGCCGTGCTCGCAGCTATTTTCCAGGAAACCACTTGTTGCCCTCAAATATGGACTGCACGTGACTCATCATGTCCTAATTCATAAGTAAGTAAGGAGCTCGGGCTACCCAGCGCCTAGCTGTTTTCGAGCTTCCTCGAATGTTCATGTAAAACAGATTTGCTGCCTCGGTCAAATACATTTTTTTTGCTGCGGATGATGGGGCGTGTGAGTGAATCTTGGTTTGCCAAAGTCCGCGAAGGGTGCGAGCTCTGCAGTGACCGCCACACACTCTTCCCTAGGGGCGAGGTCCGGCGGTTGTTTGATCTACGTGATCGACCTTTAGAGGCCCCTTGAGCAAGTGGTCCCGAGGGTCACCCTATTAAACCGCATTATTACCAGTTAGGGGTGACAGGTGGACC